GTGCCAGGGATACCAGCACTGAATCCCCGGGCTGTGCCAGGGGCTGTGCCAGGGACACCGGCACCAGGAGCTGTGCTGGAGAACCAGGTCGTGCCAGGGATACCAGCACTGGATCCTCGGGCCGTGCCAGGGAGCTCTGCCGGGGCGGGTACTGGCACCGGGAGCAGTGCCGGATCCCCGGGCTGTGCCAGGGAGCTGTGCCGTGCCGGAGAGCGGCACCGGATCCCCGTGCTGTGCCCGGCAGCGCGGCCGTGCCAGGGCCTGGGGCTGTGCCCGGTAGCTGTGCCAGGTCACTGCGCTGTGCCGGAGCCACGCCGGGGCCGTGCCAGGGCCGTGCCCAGCGGGGTGGGGATGCGGGATGGGGGGGATTGGGATGGGGCAGCGGGATGGGGCAGCGCGGTGGCCGTGCTGGGTGCCCTGCGGTGCCGGAGCTGTGCCAGGGCAGATAAACGGGGCCGGGTGGCTGTGCCCGAGTGCTGGGCTGGGCTGGAGAGCTGAGCTGTGCCAGGGGCTGCGTGGGACGGTTGTGCCACGCTGGGATGGTAGGGAGCCGTGCTGGGCACCCGTGCCACGTTGGGTATCCGTGTTGGGTGCTGTGCCATGGTGTGTATCCGTGCTGGGTGCTGTGCCACNGTGTTGGGTGCTGTGCCATGGTGTGTATCCGTGCTGGGTGCTGTGCCACACTGGGTATCTGTGTTGGGTGCTGTGCCATGGTGTGTATCCGTGCTGGGTGCTGTGCCACACTGGGTATCTGTGTTGGGTGCTGTGCCACGCTGTGTATCCATGTGGGATCCTGTGCCACGGTGGATATCCGTGTTGGGTGCTGTGCCATGACGCCTATCTGTGTGGGATCCTGTGCCATGGTGTGTATCCGTACTGGGTCCTGTGCCATGGTGGATATCCATGCTGGGCACCCACGCCATGCTGGATATCCGTGTTGGGTGCTGTGCCATGGTGTGTATCCGTGCTGGGTGCTGTGCCACGCTGGGCATCCCTGTGGGATCCCATGCCATGCTGGATATCCCTGTGGAATCCCGTGCCATGGTGGATATCCATGCTGAGTGCTGTGCCATGCTGGGTATCCGTGTGGGATCCCCAGTGCCAGCAGCCACCCCCTCCTTGGCCGCAGCGGGGCCAGGACCAGACCCGGCCACATCTTTGTGCCCATCGGTGCCACCCCGGGCAGGGGCACCACTGGGGACGTGGGGCAGGACAGGGGCACTGCTGGTGGCACAGGGACATGGGGCAGGGGACAGGGACACGGGACAGGACACGGGGATGTGGGGCAGGACAGGGGCACCGCTGGTGGCACAGGGACACAGGGCAGGGGACAGGGACAGGAGACAGGACACGGGGACGTGGGGCAGGACAGGGGCACTGCCGCCGTGCCAGGGATGTGGGACAGGACACGGGGACACAGGGCAGGGGACAGGGACAGGAGACAGGACACGGGGACGTGGGGCAGGACAGGGGCACCGCTGGTGACACAGGGCAGGGGACAGGGACACGGGACAGGACACGGGGACGTGGGGCAGGAAAGGGGCACCGCTGGTGACACAGGGCAGGGGACAGGGACACGGGACAGGACACGGGGACGTGGGGCAGGACAGGGGCACTGCCGCCGTGCCAGGGATGTGGGACAGGACACGGGGACACGGGGCAGGGGACAGGGACACAGGACAGGACACGGGGACGTGGGGCAGGACAGGGGCACCGCCGCCGTGCCAGGGATGTGGGACAGGACACGGGGACACGGGGCAGGGCAGGGCCACCACCGCGGGGCCGGGGCCGCCCCCCCAGCGCTCCCGCAGCCCCCCCGGCCCGGTGCCACCCCCCGAGGTGCCCGCGCGGGTCGCGGCGGGTCCCGCTTGTCCCCGGGGCGCTTTGATCGCGGTGGCCCCGCCGGGCACGAGGCTCGAGCCGCGGCCGCCGCGGCGCTGCTTTGATGAGGGAATTAATTAACGAGATGCCGAACACGCGGGGCCGACACCGGGGGCACGGGGGAGGGAGGGGAGAGCCCGTTTTGGGCACCTCGGGGCCCGTCTGCTGCCTCGGTTTCGCGGTTTTGGGGGCGGGGGGGGGTCCCTCAGCCCCGTGGTTTCCTTGACTCGACCCCCACTCCTTTTGAATACATGATTTTAGCCACCATCATCGCCAACTGCATCGTCCTGGCGCTCGAGCAGCACCTGCCCGACGAGGACAAGACCCCCATGTCGGAGCGGCTGGTGAGGGGAGGGGGGGGCTCGGGGGGGCACCCCCGGGGCTGGGGG